GTACAATAAAAATGCATTTTGTTCGTGTAATTCTATTGTAAAATATCAACATTGAGATCTTTTATTTACAAAAATGACTAGATATAACACATATTCTTTGGTTTCGAACAATTCGTTAGTTCTGATTATTACATCGTTGTATACTCAGAAGATCAGCTTGGCAAACAAAAAAATAGTCAAGATTAATACTTATCCAACTATAATCTCAGATAATCATCAATGCGGTAATAAAAATATTTAAAAAGTCCCATAAACATAGAGCCAAAAATGTTTTGATTTTCCTATATATGGGGTGAAGTTCTTGATAAATCATTGATGTATTGATATCTTCAATTTTCTGGAAACTCAATCGCTTTGTTTGTAAAAATGAAATAAATCTTCTGAAATAATTTGATTTGTCCCATTCAGTTTTGTAGTGACACGTGGAAAAAACCATAGTTGATATGTTTATGAAAAATAATATAGCATGCCACTGCTTTTCAAGATTTGATATAATTTACACTAGGTCCAGTAATAAAAAATTCTATCTGCTATCTGTTTCAACTAATTCCTTATCTTACATTGTTTTCGAGAAATAAGAAATGAAGAATAAAGTTTCTATTTTTTTTTTTCAGAATCCAATCACGTACTTTGGATAACTAGATAAATGGAACCACACATTTGAATTAGATTTGACGAGCCAAGCAATATAGATCCGAACCCATATGCAAACAAAAATATCATTCTTTTTCCTCGAAAACGAAGAGAGATACGAAAATAATCGAAAATAGAATAAAACCATAACAGAACATAGGCGTGATATGTTTGTTCATGAACATATGGACGACCACTACACCACTGAACTGTGCCAGACAAATCTGAATTGATGAAGAGTCGTATCTTATTACTGAAAATCAACATACTGGGCACCAAACTTTGAGGAAATCAGAAGAAAAGTTTGGTCTATGACATATTTTTTATAGTTCCTTGTTAGCTTAGCTTCCCATTCAAGAGCGTGTGTACGCATAAAGAGATGGAAGAATTACATTTTTGCGACCCATGAGTTGTCATACATAGCCCTACAATAATCACCGTGATGTTTTGTGAGATTATATATTACTCACTACATGCAAGCAAGAGTTTAAAGGGATAGGTAACTTAAGAATTTTGAATCTCTATAAGATGATCCTAAACTTCAGGTCATTGACTTCGCGCAGGTTATGTACTTAATTTCAAATCAAACATGCTATGTATTGAAGAATGTCGGAACTATTGAAATAGCTGAAAGTTGTAGTTCGGAAATTGCAAGAAGTTATGAATAGCGGGATAAAGAATTGCCTGTTTGAGAAAACGATACAATATAATTTTGAAACAACTCACAACACGCAGAAATGAAAGGAACTTGTAGGTAAGCTGAATATTTTAAAATAAAGTTAATGTTTTATACCTTCAGAAAGACGACACTTTGATGGTTTCAAATCACGACTTATTGATGTGTCTACCGCAACTTCTTACGCGCGATATTACATTACGATTTTCATTCGTGCGCTCCAAGAGATGAAAAAATCTGAGGAATTAACTTGATTTCGGAAAAATCTTCATCAGGTCCTAATTTTTTAACCACTTGGTATAATCTATTCATACCCTATATATTAATTTCCCTTGAAAACTAAATAGAAATCGAAATAGAAAAACAGGCGAGTTCTTTTATTTCCAAAAACAACACTGTAGGACAAAATCTTGTAGATCTGTTCTGATATCTGAAATGAGCGGGAGAAATGAATGAATCGACCTACTTTTTACGAGCGCGCATCCAATTTGACAGACTTTTTTTTGAATCCAATTTTATTCGAAAAAAATAACAGTCTTCATATTCCGTTTTCATCAGAGTCAAATTAGGTGAACAATCGATAGTTTTGCTCGTTTGACAGAATACTTGATGATCTTAGAAGTTTTCGAGCGCCCATTGTATTCTTCATTATTCATAAGCTGCAGTTAAGTAGGCTCTGCGAAGTAATCCTAAGATTCTGACAGTTCATAATCACTACTACTATAGTGTGATGATAATATTGGTAACGTTGAAGTTATTGTGTTCACCTAATTTGACTTTGATGGAGTTGAAGTTTGGAGACTGTTACTTTCTCATATCAAAATTGGATTTATAATTACGAGTTGAGATATTGAAACAGATTTACAAAATGTTGCCATACATGAAAGAAGATACGTATGATTTCTTCAAAACTGACCTAGATTTGAATCTCGATTTTTATCCAGTTTTCATGAGTGAAATAAATGGTATATATCTTCCAAGTATGGATTCAGATTATACGATATGGTTTCAAAATTATGACATGATAAATATTTTGCAAAAATCAAAATAACGTGTTGTATCCTATATTATCTCAATTATCAAATACGGTAGACACATTAATGGGAAGCGGGGTGATTTGGTACCACCAGTGTCCTCTTTCTACAGGTACCATATGTATATTTATTGATCTGAAACACACTGTATATATAGTTGGCAGAATTTCTGAAGATGTACTGAAGGAAGTACAGAATTCGAAAGTTATTAGTTAGACAATACCGAATCATCACCTCAAGCTATAACTTATGAAAGTTCACAATGTTTGAAGTCATGAATTTTGATTGAATACCGCTGATTATTTGATGGCAAGATTCTGACTAACAACTATGAATCGCTGCGAGTTACATCATTGCGAATCAGTGTAAGTTCAAAGATGCAAAACTCCGAACCAGTATGCGGGAAATTGTAGAATATAACCTGCACGAATTTGAGTTAAATATACTCGAACTTGAGAAATTTTGAGACTGGCAAAATTTGAAATTTCAATGTACTTTCTCAAAAATGTGTCCTCATCGATCTTCCTATACGCTTCCTCACACAACATATTCGATGGACGAACCATGATGGGCATCATCAATTTGACCACAACCGTCTCTATCATCAAGTCGTGGTAAAGAGTATTGGCAACACTGTCCGAAAGTCGGTGAAGTAGGTATCAATGTACAGTATGATATGAACGCTAGGATGAATTCGTTAATCCGAGAGAAAGCGACTTTGAGAAAAATCCAAAATATCTAAGTTTCAATTCTAAATGCTTCATATCATGATATTCATGTAACAGGACGTTAAACAATCTCATTTGAAAGGTCTACTGATCGTCTATCCAACAGTATTATCATTTCATCATGTATTTATCCGGTCAATCAACATTTTGTATTATAAGATCGAAATTACAATGAATTTTCATTTGTTGATCTAAATTGTGCAGAGGTCCGCTACTGAGCAATGTACCTACAGCGTAATAGTTTAACACTCTGATTTGAAATTAGTCATGCAGAAGGTACACTGAGGAGAAAAATGTGTAGCCATCACTAAAAATATCGTAATTATGGCAAACAAATTTACTACGATAGGGGACAGCAAGGTTATGTTTTTTCTGCAACTAATTTTAATTTTTCGGAAACACCTATCTGTACCAAATGGAAAGCTTACTTGTTTCATTCCAAGAACTCAAATTATCCGAATGGACAGCACTGAAATAAATCTTTCCCCAGGCAACCCGATGACATTCCAGTGACGTCTTTTTTACGTCACTTGAATGACCAACGTGACGTCAATAGTTGACGTCGCATGACGTGATAATGACGTGAATGAGTCACAGCCCAATGACGTCATATTACTCACGTCGTATTGACGTCATTCACTCAAACTGTGACGTCCTACTGACGTCATAATAACGTCAAAATGACGATTGAATTTGGCGATGTAACGTAAAAAAGATTCCTTCAACATGGTGTAATAGACACCACTGGCCTCTGATGACATTAGATAATATTGATCATGCATCGTTGGGTCTGCTTGGTGGGTCCCTCCTGTGTCATGTTCATTCAATCGCATATTCAGCAGCGCTATATCCTTCAGTACGCATCTTCATCAGAATGCAATCAGTTACTCGTATTTGTATCAAAAATTATGTAGTTTGTGTCGGCGAGAAGTAATCAAACAAAGAATAGTTTGATAGCAATGAAAATTATGTTGGCGATTTTGGTTTCATTTTGTTGAATAATGTATATTGATGCATTCGTTGTCACCCAACAAAAATCTAAATAGCAAATTATTGAAAGAATTTATGAATGACGAAGCTCACCAAATTGGTACGTCACACCGACGTGATTTTTAGACGTCATAGACACGTCACTGCAACGTCATAAGAGTAACGAATTCAATATAGGTATAGGTACCTTAACAACCATTTGTATATATACATAGCTTGTTGTTTTCCGAGATATACAGTGTGTCAAAGTTTTCTCCTACTTTTCGGGTATATCAATAATTCCAATAAAACTTGCATGTTGATTTGTTTTCATGAGTTATACTCCTGTTTCACAATAAGTATCCATGGTTCAGAGAAAGTCTGGGAAGAACGGACGTCGACAGGACGTCTCTGCAACGTCATGAAACTAACGTCTTCTTTTACCCGTCTAAGTGACGTTCACTCGACATCAGAACGATTACGTGATTGTCATAGAAAGTACGTCATAGTGACGTCATAAATTGGTATGTGTCTCTGACGAAAAATCACCAACTAGGGACGTGTAACAGTAACGTGATCATTCGTCATCTAGTTGCCTGGGTCGTGAACAGTAATATTATTAATGATGAATAATGTGGTGAAGATAGCAACTTCTTTCGTAGAAGATGGGTATGTTTCGTTGTTGTTGATAAAAATCTCAATATTCTTATTTATTGGTACCAAATAAATTCCAACAAAGCAATTTAGTTAACCGTGTTTTCTCAGTGTAGCATTAAATAGTTTGATATTATTTTCATTACAATGTATTTCATGTATAAAAAATCCCACACGTCGCGTGATTTTGTCATTATATGAGAGCGAAAAAAGTTTGCCCTAACTTTTCCAGCGACACTAACGGAACCTAACTTCTGAAAGCATGACAACCAGCCATAACGAATGTTTGATGAATTGAAGTGTCTTACCGAATTACACTCAAGCTTTTGTTTAGTCGAAGTGAACTTGGCATTTATATTTCGAATTCTGCTGCCATTAGGTGATTCAATTCAAAAAACTGCCAGAAACAATTACTCGTCCTAAGGACTCGTGATTTTTTCAGAGGCATTTTTTTTTCGTCAAATTGCCAGGCAACAAAAATCTCATTGATACATGTCAAGTTTACTTAGACTTCGACTCACTTATTATCTAGCAATGCGATGAACAGGAACTGAACCAATCAAAATTTTACTCCTTAGTGGCTGTGGAGAGGAGACGATAACCAACGAAGAAACGCATCAGAACGGAGAATGCACGAATAACCCTTGAAGTTCTCGAAAAAGATAGAAAATAGTCTATTGCCCAAATATCGTCCACCAATATTTTAATTGGTGGACGATGGCCCAGCTTTCACATAGCATAATCATTACTGGAGGTCATCAATTTGAACATGTATCATACTTTCATGGTTTTTTGAAAAATACACAGTTACGGTTGACCCTTACTGTTGAATAGACAATTAGAAGACTTTCGAATAAAGAGTAGCGTACCCTGTTTGTATTTTGGAAAATCTTCAATTACGTAATCACTCCGACATCGATGACTTAACATCGCTCCTATGAATGAATATAAGATAGTGTTTCTAGAATTGAAACATATGTTCTTTGATTTTTTTCAAAAGTCGCCTATTCTTGAAATGATGAATTAATTCCATACAAAGGTACTATATGTTTGCCTATGTCGCCATTTACAAGAAGGACTGTCGTATCAGGACAATGTGACGTTGCCATCATCTCACCATGGCTTTCTAAAGAGACGGCTGTGTTTCAAGTGTTTCAACTACTGCGAGTATCCGAGAAATGCGTGTCATGGCGGCAAACCGCCACCTCCGTGAACGCGCATGTGCCTGTTCAGGTTGCCACTCTGGCTGAACCGCAGCAGACATAGCTTGCACTCGTAAGGCTTCTCGCCGCTGTGGATGCGCAGGTGTTTGGTCAAAGTGCTGCTGTCGGAAAAGGCCTTCTTGCAGAGCCTGCACCTGCAAAAGAAAAATCAATCTCAAGAAGAGGCGAAAGAGGAATTAATATTTTCATTGGGTGCACTAGCCAAAGTTACTGCCGCTTTGGAACTTCTAACATTTCAGCAGTTCTGAAAAGAATCCCACCTAGCAAGTGGAGTGTAGAGGATCAAGATATCATATAACTTCCATGTGTCTGGGGGGATGTAGCATGCACCAGTAGAAAACTAGAAGAAAACATCATTGGTATTGCCAGGGGACTCTTTATTTAACAAAACATTCGCAATATTCTTCACATTTAATTGCATTTAAGAGACTTACTGGAACCTCACATTCTTGTCTATTTATGTAACAAACGGAATCAATCAATTTTGATCTTGATTGACGACTCACTTAATCCGTACTAAGACTTTCATTTGGCATTATGATGTGAATCATAAAGTGTCCAAATATGTCCGGAATAGCAGTCATTGTGAGTTCAGTGAGACTCTGTCAATTCTAGTCACGGATGTGATGTGTAGCATGCATGTGATGTCCTCTTATATCTCCGGGATCAATATGTGTTAACTGGGTTGCCTTCTTCTTTATCCATATTTGAACAGTAAACTGTAATTTCCAGGGGTGAGATACATTAGACCCATCTGGCGTCGCAGCAATACCACCCCCTGTATTTGTCCTCACATAGACCATAACCTAACCTCTCAAACATGTAGTGGTCAACGGAGTTCCATCTGACTCTCTTATCATAAATGCTGGTGTTCCGCAAGGATCAATTCTAGCGCCAACACTATTTCTACTCCATATCAACGATTTGTTGAAAGCAACTCCATATCCAGTACACAGCTTCGCGGATGATAGGACCCTCCATACCGCCTTCTCTTCCAGGAATCCAATACCAGCCAGGCAAATCAGAAACGAACGAGGAAGAAATGTTGACAACATAAATATGGACTTGGCAACAATTCTCGAATGGGGATCCAATAACTTGGTAGATTTCAATGCAAACAAAACACAAGCATGCCTTTTCTCTAGAAAATCCGATCTCACTGTGCCCAACATAAGCTTGTCAGGAGTAACCATATACCTTTGAAGACATCCATTCCGATGTTGATATTACTATCAGCAATAACCTTTCTTGGGAAAATCACGTGAGATCAATTGCTAAAAGTGCATCCCAAAAACTTGGTTTTCTGTTTCGGGCCAGGAGCTAATTTACTTCTAGTCAGCTGCTCATGTTCTATGAGGAACAAATCCGACCTGTCCTGGAATACTGTTCCCATATTTGGAGTGCAGCACCCAAACATACCCTGAAACTGTTGGATTCTGTCCAAAAAAGGGCAATTCGTCTCGTGGGTGATCCTCACTCACCATCTCACTCACTTCTCTGGAACACCTTAAAAAAGTTGGCGATCTGGCTCAATGTTACAGATATTTCCATGGACGATGCTCTCCTGTGTACTGGACACACAGCTTTGCAGATGATAGTACCCTCCATATCGCCTTCTCTTCCAGGGTTCCAATACCAGCCAGGCAAATCAGAAACGAACGAGAGAGAAATGTTGACAACATAAATATGGACTTGGCAACAATTCTCGAATGGAGATCCAATAACTTGGTAGACTTCAATGCAAACAAAACACAAGCATGCCTTTTCTCTAGGAAAGTCGATCTCACTGTGCCCAACATAAGCTTGTCAGGAGTAACCATACCTTTGAAGACATCCATTCCGATGCTTGGTATAACTATCAGCAATAACCTTTCTTGGGAAAATCACGTGAGATCAATTGCTAAAGGTGCATCCCAAAAACTTGGTATTCTGTTTCGAGCCAGGAGCTATTTCACTTCAAGTCAGCTGCTAATGATCTATTAGGCACAGATCCGACTTGTCCTGGAATACTGTTCCCATATTTGGAGTGCAGCACCCAAACATACCATGAAACTGTTGGATTCTGTCCAAATAAGGGCAATTCGTCTAGTGGGTGATGTCTCGTTCACAAACTCTCTCACTTCTCTGGAAGACCGTAGAAAAGTTGGCGATCTGACTCTATTGTATAGATATTTTCATGGACGATGCTCTTCTGAAATATCAACAGTTGTTCCTCCCTTGGCAGTCCCGCGAGATTAACCCGTCGAGTTGAGGCTTCGCACCCCTTCGTGGTCATTTTGGAGTTCTGCAGAACATCTCTTTCCAAAGGCTCGTTCATCCAACGAACAGTGAGGGTCTGGAATACATTGCCAAGGGAGGTGGTCCCCGAGGCATATACCTTCCAGAAATTCAAGAAGAACACCAATTCCTACCTTATTTCCCTTGGTTCTCACGATGTTCTCTGATGAACATTACAGGATATCCGTTTTCGTGGGAACCAGAACATAATAACAAATAACCCACTCACCTGTATGGTCTCTCGCCGGAATGCGTGCGCATGTGCGTAGTGACAGATGAGCTCTGCGAGAACCGCCTGTCGCACACAGGACACCGGAACGGCTTCTCGCCGGAATGGGTGCGCGCATGCGCAGTCAGGTTGGCAGCCTGCGAGAAGGACTTGGCGCAGTCGGCGCAGCGGAACGGCTTCTCGCCAGAGTGGGTGCGCAGGTGCGTTTTCAGCGTACTAGGGCGGGCGTAGCTCTTTCCTGGGAAGAAAGAGAGCTATTAATGAAATAAGTATTTCATCTCTTGGAACTCGAACTCAAGCGCCTAAATACATATTTTTCCAACCAAGTTGCATCCTCAGTAGATCTGAAGAATATTTGAGAGGTTTATGCTTTTCGGCTAGTAATGAAGAAGAGCTGACAGCTTGATCATTAGGTTTTCTCTGTCCCCCTTGACTTCTCGTTCTGTGACTCTGTTTTGGGTTGAATTCAGATCCCTTTTCAACACAATGTGTTATTTACCCATGTCAACAGGGATGAGATGTATTTCTTCTTCGTCACAGAAAAAATGAAACTCTAGAAAATAAATTCAAAAAAAATTTTTTTTTCTTTGAAGGCAAAAGAGTTTGGCATTTCATCTCTGTGGGCAGGTTATAAAATGTCACTTTTCATAAATTACTTCTTTCCCGTGGGAAAGAAGTGAGTACTTTTTTCCCGGATATATATCACATATATATACATCACTGTTGATGGCTTCTATTGTGCTATAGTTTCGAAACATGAGTCATCAATACCGTCTCCGAGAAAGAACTGCAAGTCCTTTTATCTTCCATTCGACTTCGGTTAGGTATATCACTAAACAACCAGTAAATTCGCAATTTTTTAAAATCAAATCAGAGAATTAGACTGACAGAAGTGACATCAGATATTTGATTACATCAAAAGAATGATAAAGATGCCTACAAGGTATGTGTCCCTACTGTAAAAAACTCAAAATTTCACGTCGATAATTTTCAGATTTCAAAATAATGTAATATCTCTCCAATATCGATTCGTCCTCTCTTCTGTCACAGAAAAAAAGTGTTATACACGGGACGCTATACGCGTCGGGAGACAACACAACCTAGAGCTAAAATCTACTACTTTTTTCCCTTGTATAATAAATAACTATTTCTGTACCGAAGTATCACTCTTTTAGTCAACTTCAGACTCCCTATCCATGTTCTCTACTATTTTCTCCATCTAACTTTGTGTAAGGGGTCGCTTCCTATGAGAATCACCCAATTTTATAGCTCTGAAGAATAAAAAAATAAAAAATAGACGGCGTATTAAAAAAATTAATGGGACCTTAAATATCCGTACGGGGTACACTTCTAAATCAGGTATAACTTCGATACACTTGCTGCAGAAAGTGGTCGCAAATTGAATAATACAAACGCCATCATAAATACATAGTCATGACAAGAAATCGGAAAAGTGAAGTTCTAGAAGCAAATCATATAACATTTGAGTTAAAGGTATTTCATTGGTGATTCGACCCTGCTGAATTCGAAAATGCTTGTTGCCAACTCGAAATCCTGACCGGAAATGAGACATTCAAGATGGCGGCCTATTTTTTGCAGTTTTTTGCATATATCTTGAAAACTATGAGGTTTAGCGCAAAAATTGTTCTGAATTAGTGGGGTCGTACACACTAGTCGAATTTACGCCACATACCAATTTTATATAGATCATTTCGTGTATTCATTGTATAAATTTGTGCAAAACAAAGCTTCAAAAACAGAGGTGAAATTAAATGTGTGATCCATGTCCATAGACGTAGAGTAATAATGGAGATTCATTTTCTTCAAATATTTCATATAACATGTTTGACACACTTTTTATTATCGAAAACTGTGCCTCCCTGGAGCGAGAATACATAGTTCTCTATATACAAAGTGTAGAGTGTGTCAAACATGTATCAAGAAATATTTGAAGAGCATGAATCTTCATACTCATCCTATGTCTATGGACATTGATCACGCATTTATTTTCACCCCCGTTTTCAAAGGAATTTTTTGGCACATATTCATGCAATTTGCATGTATTTATTTTTTTCCATGGAAATGGAGCAAATTTTCAGAACAATTCAGGAAACCAAAAAGTTGTATTTTTAGTTGGTCAATAGGTAATGAAGATAAAGAATTCAAAAAAATCAGTGGCGCACATTTTATTGACAATAATATTCGCTAGGTTGCCCCCTGGGACGCCACTGACTTTCATAATCTAGATTGAATTATCGCTATATCAGCCCCTCATGACAAGAAATAGCATTGCCAAATTTCAAGAAAATCGGTGGAAGGACATTTGAGATATTAAAAAAAAACGAACTTTTTTAAAAGTTTTTACAAACTGTATGTTGAAAACTATGCATTTCCGGATCCACGTATATATGAAATGAAACTCTTATTTTATCATATAGAATCACCCCCTTGATTTTTTACGCCTAATTTCCGGACACCCTGTATATATATATGAAGGAATACATTGAGAATTCGCATTCTCTATATGAGGAAAATATCAATTCTTTCTCGGTTCATTCAACAGGAAAGAACTACTTTCCTGGCTATATGCCACGACGAACATTGAATTACATCTATTGGACATACACATAATATCATTGTGAATATTCAACAGAAAACAACTACTTTCCTGGCTATTTGCCACTTCGAATATTGAATTATATCTGTTGAACATCCAAAAAGAGAGCATAAAGTATGAAATTGAGAATTGACATCTCTCTCAAATCGGATACAATAATATGATGAATGATGAATATCAATTTATTATACATCCAAAAAAAAGAACGAAAAAAAATCACAAAGATATGTTTGATATTTCCTAAGCCAAATGATAGAGGCAAACTCCAGCTTAGGACTGATTAGGGAATAATGAATAATAATATAAATATGTAAACAATAATTATAATAATAAATAATAACAAATAATGTAATGCTGTATGGCTCACCACATATCCTGCAGACGTTCGGCTTCTGTCCCTCCTCCTCCTCCATCGCCCCCAAGCTGTGCCTTCGTCTGGGCGAGGCGAAAGCAGCGGGGGCGGGCTTGTAGACCGCCCCCTCATGCGGCGGCGGCCGGAAGTCGGCCGTGAAGGAGTACGTGGCGCCGCCGTACGTCGGGCTCAGCAGGCCCTGGTTCGCGTACGCCTGGTGGTGGGGGTGGGGGGTGACTTGAGGGGTGGCGCTCCATTGCACCTGGAACACAGATACGTCAGGGTATGAGTTCATTCAATGAAATTGCCGACATAAGGTATAGGCCAGTCATTGGGGATTTATACCTGGAAATAAGTCCGGAAGTTTTGAAACTTTGTAGGATTGTAGTTTTGGGTGTCCAGAATCAAAATTCACAAAATGCACATTCCGGGACATGCCGCCGGCGCCGCCATCTTGCCAACATGACGCTCAAAAAGTGTTTTTTGAAAATATCTCCAAAACGGTGCGTTTTTAGAAAAAATATGACGACATAAAAATTTAAGATGAAGAAATTTTCTACAAGAAATGTTCCGAGCATATTTCTGCTAAAGAGAGCCGTTTAGGCTCAAGAGCTGATTGAATGACAACATATTCTGTTAATTTCTATAAACTGCCCCTAACTATCTCCATATATGCGTATTAATTCATATTTTATAATGAAACGGGCTATTCAATTTGTTCCTCGTTATATTGGACGATTTTTAGATCAATTATGCGACAAAAATTTCGCATTTGTGACTTGCGATTATTTGGGCGATATAAAAATTGCATTATCGACGAATTTGGCGACTTTGCTCCAGAAGTATATGTGGGTGCAGGATGGTTATGAGTAAATTTCGTACCTATACTATGTATCCGTAGATATAGGTACCTTCTCGTACTGTAAAACCGCCCATAAATTCATAGAAATTTGAAATTTTGCTTTTTTGTCTTTACCACTCCATCCCAATATGAGTAAATACACAAAATATATATATTTCAGATGAGATATTTTTATGAACGGTAAAAACACAAGAACTTTTTCATCAACTAAATTACCTTTCCTAACGAACACAATTTGCCAATCAGTAATTTTACGAGAAAAACGGACATGAAAAAATTGCGAGACCGTATTTAACCAAGGAAAAATGAAGTTAAGATGAAGAAATTTTCTGAAAGAAATGTTTTCAGTATATTTTTGCTGAAGTGAGCAGTTTAGGCCCAAGAGCTGATTGAATGACATCATATTCTGACAGAGGATATTTCCTATAAAATATGTTCCTAGAATATTCTCGCTCAAGTACCCTCGTTAAGGCACAAGTGCCCTTACCAAATTACAAATGTTGCGTTTTTTTCTGTAGTGGCGAGTTTCGGAAATAATATGTGTATTAGGGGTCCCCAAATCTGATATTCAACGACTTTAAAAATATTTATCACGAAACGGTGGATATCCATTATTCAATTAATCGATGAATTCATCAATTAATCCATGTTCATAATTTATGATCAATCAATTTCGATTCTAAATGCTGTACTTGTTTCCACACCACCCAAGAGGCTAAGTACACGGCGCGTTTTTTTTAACGTGGTTTCTCCTAGAGTCCCTGTATATCCCTAAGGTATATACAGGGACTCTAGTTTCCCCTGTGGTCCTAATCCACTCAGGTACTGAAATTATTTTTGGCAAAGGCCAGACGGACCTGGCTCGTTGATTTCGATATATTCAACGGGGAAACTGGTTACCTCAGCTCCAGAATCGATGTTAATTTCCTTCAACTCGTCGGATTCTTCTTCTGCAGTCGATAAAGAATCATCATGCAGCGAATGGAGGTCTTCTTCATCGGATTCGTCCAGTGTCACTTGGCTGATATTTTCACAAGTTTTCCCGTTGCAGACACCGCAAATCATCGAACATCGCAATCCTGCTTTCCGGCATCCGCAGGCTCTACCACAAGCCGCCTTGCACTTACAAGATAAAAAAGCAAGTAGTGCTTTGGAATAAGCAGGATCTTTCAAAGTAGTTATTGGAGTGAGGCCAGTTTGTGTTTTCTTCCAACCCAATTATTCAACTACTTTCGGACAACCACGCCATAGTTGAACCTGATAGTACGTTCTCAACGAATGCTGTCGTGCAGCTGCGCTTGTCGGTGGTAAATATGCCAAATTGAATTTACTTTTTGTTACCGATTTCACGAAACACTGGTATCGATATTTATCAAGATTGGTGTAATTTGTGTCTTTGAATCCATAGAGTGCAAGGAAAAATTTCTCACCTTCAAAGGCAACTTGATCAGGGGTGGCATGTTCATTTTCAAAAACTTCAATATGATTATGTTTTCCTAATGTTGTTAGAAACTTCATTTTTCCTTGGTTAAATACGGTCTCGCAATTTTTTCATGTCCGTTTTTCTCGTAAAATTACTGATTGGCAAATTGTGTTCGCTAGGAAAGGTAATTTAGTTGATGAAAAAGTTCTTGTGTTTTAACCGTTCATAAAAATATCTCATCTGAAATATATATTTTGTGTATTTACTCATATTGGGATGGAGTGCGGTAAAGACAAGAAAGCAAAATTTCAAATTTCTATGGATCTATGGGCGGTTTCACAGTACGAGAAGGTACCTATATCTACGGATACATAGTATAGGTACGAAATTTACTCATAACCATCCTGCACCCATATACTTCTGGAGCAAAGTCGCCAGATTCGTCGATAATGCAATTTTTATATCGCCCAAATAATCGCAAGTCACAAATGCGAAATTTTTGTCGCATAATTGATCTAAAAATCGTCCAATATAACGAGGAACAAATTGAATAGCCCGTTTTATTATAAAATATGAATTTATACGCATATATGGAGATAGTTAGAGGCAGTTTATAGAAATTAACAGAATATGTTGTCATTCAATCAGCTCTTGAGCCTAAATGGCTCTCTTTAGCAGAAAAATGCTCGAAACATTTCTTGTAGGAAATGTCTTCATCTTAAATTTTTATGTCGTCATATTTTTTCTAAAAACGCACCGTTTTGGAGATATTTTCAAAAAACACTTTTTGAGCACCATCTTGGCAAGATGGCGGCGCCGGCGACATGTCCCGGAATGTGCATTTTGTGAATTTAAGTTCTGGACACACAAAACTATAATCCTACAGAGTTTCGAAACTTCCGGACTTTTTTCCAGGTAAGCCTTATTTTGGATCCCCAATGACTGAACTAGTAGGTGAATACAATATGCGCATGTTTGCAATATGCGCACGGGCCGTAGTTTGGTTGTTTTATGAACGATGGCAGCACACTACACACAGTTTTCTGTTGACCTTCTGTCAGATTTCAGTCATTCAGGCATCAAGTTGCTAGCGTTATCAGATTTTATAGAGACGCCGGTTTATTTTCACGTTGAGTTTTTTATTATTGAGTTGTAAAAGACAGTGTTAATGAACTGCAATATCTTATACATGAGTATTGAAGCTTAGATTGTGGTGGAGAGCAATCAAATTAAGGTAACTTTTAAGACAAAAACATAGCTTGACCCAATTTAACTTCATGTATAGCTAGTTATTTTCGAAAAACCGGCAAAAGACTTTTTAAAAAACGTTTATTATGTTATCTGGACAAGGTATACGGTCAAAATCGTCGGAAAAATGAATTACACATGTATTTATAATGTCGGTTGATCTTGAGAGACGAAATATGAATCTGCTGATCTCGCTGCTTTCCGGGAAACGGCCTGGGAAGTGTTGTACCTAGCTCGGTACCGTGGGACCGCTCGATGTAACTCCTCCCCCCTTAAGAGACGGCTTCGGGCTGGAACAGGACCGAAGGCGATCGGACTGATTGATGATTATCTTCGATCTTGATTTGGGCTTCTGAGGGCTTCTTCTTCAACTTCAGGAGTCTGCGAGTGATGTAGGTCAACAATATGAGGATGGCTATTGCGACTATAGTCCAAAACATCCAGTTGATTGATTGGTCGTCATTGAAATCATCGATTGATAGTTGATTGGTTGCTTCGATGTGTTGCCGGAGCCGATGGATATCTTCTAATGGGACGTTTTCGATTCTGAGTGGTTTTCTCCGGACTATTTCAACTTGGGTGGAACCGTTCATGATTTTTGGTAATACGAGGGGACTACCAAAACTTGTGGCCTGGTTGTTTTCGAATTTGACTGACTGGTATTCGACGCTGCAATTTAGTGGAATCTGAAGTAGAATGTTGCCTTGTACGGTGAGGAATTGTTCTTCGGGGCATTGAGTTTTAATCTTTATTTCTTCACGGCTGATGATCAATAAATACTCTTCATTTACTTTATTGAATATCAATAATGGAATTTCTACTGGTATTTGTAGACATCGGGATCTCTTGTCTTGGATGAGGGCGGAAATGCAGTCTTCAACAGGGTTGAACTTGAATTCTTCTTGCTCGCAAAGGAAGGTGTCTTCGACTTTCGTACAGATATGGTCCATGTACTGATAGTTTTCTTGTTCGAGAGCCAAATAAGGTTTATTTGGGATAATTAAGGTTTGATTATTGGTTGGAATTGGAAATAAATGGAAATATTGAAAGGTTTTCGGATGAATTATTGGAATTTCTATGGCAAAAATGATCTTAGCCTTAGTGAAGTAACAGTTTGTGTGCATAATAGAATACCAAGTGTGATAATTAACATCTAGTATCGTATTGTGATCATTATGAAATCTCAATTCAGTTAGTATGTTTTTCAAGTTTTGAAATGGCAATATATCTGGATGAATAATATGTAGTTTTGCAAAAGTAATGGCATTTTCTATGTTGTCCAAGAGAGTAACGAATATATTGGCATTCAGAAATATTTGATCCAACATATTTGTATAAACTGCATATTTTGAGAACTGGTCTGAAATGTTTTCTAAAGAAGCTTTGTTATCAGAAATATACTTGAAAATCTTCTTCTGATTATTAGTAATTGTTTCCATATCTTTCGAATATTGGCCGATTAATTGTTTGGATAATGAAATTTGTATATTGACATCCTTGACGATTTTTTGTTGATTTTCTTTCAAAGTTGTAATAGCACGATCGTATCTTTCGCCGTCTGAAGAATCGAGTGTACCGAAAAGAAACTTTTGTACTGTTCCTCCTGCATTGATCAATCCTCTTCTATTTCTGGAATATACTGGGTAATATATATTATTGAATTTATTTGTGACTTCGTTGATAATAGGTTCCAAGTTTTCATAGGTATTCTTCAAGGTATAAAAATATC